AATTGTTTATGTATCATCAAATCAGCTTTAATGTTTCCTCCCCCATCCCCGACATCTACTGATTGCTCCCCACTTGCTTTTTACCCTTTACCACCTTCTTCCCAATAAACCGTTGCATCAGTTATTGTCTCTATGCACCCACTGCTTCTGTGCTTCCTAAACTGGGACACCTAACAGAAACAATAATATACAAAAACAAAACGAAACAGAAAAGAGAACAATAATAATAAGATAAAGATAAATATAAGTAAAAATAAAGTAAGAAATAAAATGAATTAATAAATAGCAAACCACCAAAAATATTTTAAAAACCAGAGAAGAAATTCCTGTCTTGGAACAATCAAGAAATGTTTGAGCATAGAGCAAATTTGGGATGGTTCAAGAGAGAGGTCCACTGGCCAAGCATAATATTATACCTTGATTTAGATTAGCCGTAATCAAGTTTACAATAATCCCTGTCTGATAGTACATTAAGACTCCACCCTTCATATTTTTGGGGGGTACAGCTCGCTAAAAGACAAAAGCGCACGTCCATAAAAGCCATTTATCAATGAATAGGAGCCAATTGGAAGCAGTGCCAAGAATGTGGGGCACCTTCCCTCATCTATCCTGAAAGTATGGGACTGTGAGAGAACAACAGTGAGACTGGCTTCCTGGCACACAGAGGTGGAAGTCAAAGGCCATGTGGCTGAGAGCCTGAGGACCATAGACGACTGTGGGCTGGGGAGAGGACAATAATTGTATCCTTAATGTTAATCTATTATTAACTTCTCTACTAAACCCCTTACTTGTGATTATTATCTGTGGAGTTCCACATGGCTACTGCAAGAAATTATTGAACCTAGCAAAGAAGAATACTGTAGGTGGAACTGTGGGTGTCAAAACAGGGTAAAGAAAGAACAGCTGATAGAAAATATGGCTTTGGTGGTAGAAGTGACCCTGGAAATAGCATGGAGAACTTTGCCAGAACAGTGACTTCTTCATCACAAAGACCTTTTCAACAACACAATAGCAACTATACATGTGAACTTTTCTAGATATAGAACACCAAAATCAAAATGAGTGCATTTATGGGAATGAATGATGGAGAAGCTGAATATCAGCAGATAAAGGAACACCATGGGCCCATAGACCATCAATTGCTCATATGTATATTCAGGAAAAAGGTGAGGATAATTGAAACAAGGTCACAAAACCAAAGTAAAATCTTGCTGAGGAAGTTATTGTGCCAACCTGCCCAATTAAACACATGTGGGGTTAATTGAAGGGTGGAGGGATAAATGGCTCAGTGAGCCTCGCTTTCTAGTTCTTGGGTCTCTTGCTTTCTGATGGTTCAACCAGGGTGCAGCTGCCTTAGCCAGTTCTCTGCTTTAGTTAGCACGGCTCACTTCCTGTAAGACATCCCTGAGGAGAAGCCACATAGACCTACCCCGATGCAGCCCTGGGTGCTGGAGCAGCCATGTGGAGACCTCTGTAAGTGCTGAAATGCTTACACACTCACTGACTCGGCTTTCCTCCTGCAATCGGCATCATTGCACGTGTTTTGTGAGATGGAGGAGGACTTTGTAGATTGGTGTCGGACATATGGGTTAATGGGAAAAAGTTGGACTTGTGGGTTTGGACAGAACTGGGTTGGGATGTTCTCTTCATGCGCAATTAACCTTTATATAAAACTCTCTTCTACATGAGTTTCTGTGCATTTGGTTCTCTAAAGTACCTAGACTGATACGCTTGCATATATCCCACCTGTATTTCAAGAACATCATAAAAACTGATCTGATGCAATGAACATTAATGACAATAAGACCTGATGAGCTCTGGTATGACATCAGTAACATCATACAGAAAGAAATAAAAGGTCATTTAAAAAGTAGGGAAAAAAATCAAGGTGGATGTGAAACGACACTTGGAGACTTGTTCTTAATCATAAAGTCGCTAAGGCAAATGGAAGAAATGATGACGTCAAAGAGCTGAATAGAAAATGTCAAAGGGCTGTACGAAGACCTAGATTTAGAAAACCAAAAAGGAAGAACTCTCTCAGCATAACTTACAGAACTAAGGAAAAACGCAAGTTTTGAGTTGCCATATCAGAATTTTCTATGGGCGATAAATTGACGCAGGCAGCATCAAACACGATGGAAATGATATGCACAGTGGCTGTACCAAAAATAACAGCCAACATTCAACCGTTTCAACAGGGAGCATATGTTCAAGAACCAGTGATACTGAAGGAAGAAGTCCAAGCCACGCTGAAGGTATTGGCAGAAAACAAAGCTCCAGGAAGCTATGGAGTGCCAATTAAAATGTTTCAGGAAGCACTGGAAGTACTCACTTATCTATGCCAAGAAATTTGACAATTGGGAAGAAATCTATATTAGTACCCATTCCAAAAAAAGTGACACCACCAGAACATGCAAGTTATAGAATAATATCATTGAAGTCACATGAAAATAAAACTTTACTGAAGGTCATCCAACAATAGTTGCAGCAGTACTTTCACACGGGGCTGTTCTAGGTTCAGGCACGATGCTGAAGAGGACTTGGAACCAGTGATCTCATTGCTGATGGCAAATGGATCTGCCTCAAAGCAGAAATATAAGAAAGATGTTCATTGTGTTTTATTGTCTTTGTCAAGGCATTTGACACCGTGTATCATATTAAACTGTGCATAGACTTAAGAAAAATGAATATACTTCATTGTGTTCATGTGGAACCTGTATATGTATCAAAAAGCAGTTCTGTTACCAAAACAAGAAGTACTATATGGTTTCAAATCAGGAAGAGTTTGTGTCAAGGTTGTATTCTCTGCACAAAATTATCCAATCTGTCTGATGAATAGATGGAGAAGCTGGACTAAATGAAGACGAGCATGGCACCAGGGTTGGGGGAAGGCTTACTAACAACCTGAGAGATGCAGATGACAGCTTGTTTGCTGCAAGTGAGGAGGACGTGAAAGACTTGCTGATCAACATCAGGAATTGCAGCCTTCAATATTAATAACAACTTCATGTAAAGAAAACTATACTCCTCACAACTCGACCAATAGGAAACATGATGGTAAACAGAGAAAAGATTGACTCTGTCAAAGATCTCATCTTGCTTAGATTCAAAATCAAATTTTAAGAGATCAAAAGATGCATTGCCTGGATAATTCTACTGCCCAAGACCTCTTAAGGTGTTGAAAAGCACGGATGTTACTTTTAGGACTAAGGTGTGCCTGACTCAAGCCATGCGATTTTCTTTTGAAGCAAAGATGAGGAGCCTTCCTCTCATGTACCCAGGACAAGTTTTCAGCAGGGACTGAACGCTTGGAAAAAATATCATGTTAGTAAAGTAAAAGGACAACAAAAAAAGGAAGACCCTTGTTGACATGGGATGACATGGTAGCTGCTTCAATGTGCTGAAACATAAGAACAATTGTGAGGATGGCGCAGGCAGGACCCTGTTTCATGTTTTGTACATAAGATTGCCACGAGTGGAAAGAACCTAATACTGTAACAGCATTAGATCTAGTAATGACATTAGCTGCTCTGAAGGTCACTATATTTTTGTTTTTAAATTGGGGGAAGTGTATCATTGTAAACTAACATACTATTGTAAGAATAATAGTCTCTATTCATCACCTAGGTTCTACCAATAGCAACATTCGTCAGCAGAACAGAATATTATTAAAAATGGAGCTTAAAGTTTGTCCTTTTATTTATCCTTTTTATTTAGATTGCTTCCTCTAGTTATTGTTTCTCTTGTTATTTGTTGTTTTAAAAGTGCTCTTAGGCCATTTCTATTTATTTCTTAAGTCTGTGTAATTAGTGTATTTTTAGGATTTTATATCATGTTTTTATAATGGTTCTTAGACTATTTCTTTGTATAGTCAGCAGTTGATATGCAAATTAACTTGTCAGCTTCTACCTGTATTGGTTGTACATTTTCATTAAACTGTGAAAAGCTCACTTCCATATAAGTCCTTGCACAGTGGTTAACTTTCAGGTACGATATGAATTGTTGGTAATTCTCAAGGGGAAAATGATGAGGTCTTCAGCTTCCTCATCTTATGTAAATATCTTCAGTCTTGGAAATTCTATGGACAGTCCTACTCCATCTATTTAGGGTCACTGTGAGTCAGAACAGCAAGAGGACCTTCCCTGCATTTAACTATTACTGATTGTATTTTCAGATGGTATCATAATCTTTGTTTAATTTAATACATAGATTTAGAAAAATGAGGAGAAGAATATCCTATTGTATGTATCCCTATTTATTTTCTCTGCTGCTTCAAAATATTTCTTTGTTTCTACTGTGGAATTTCTTAGTTAATCTTAATTAGTAAATTTGTTATTGACAAAATATTTTACTTTTACTAAACCTGAAAATGCATGATTTTAATCTAAAAATATATATATCACTATATATTCATCTTTGTGTGTCTGTGATTGCCCTTCAGAATTAAACTTACAGGGACAATTAACTAAGTTAAACAATAGTGGAGTAGATCTCAGAAGACAAAAAATAGTAGATAGTACAATAGTACAGTAGTAAATCTCAGAAGACAAAAAATACTGGCCTCCGTGTCACTACCTCCTCACTGGCAATTTTCATTTCCTTTACAAGACCAAAGGCTGAGGAGGAAGACAGAAACATAAGAATTTCTGTAGAGAATAGCAGACAATCCAGAGACTAATTTAAGTTCTTACTTTGCTCACTGTTTGGAATCTTGGTAAGTTTGACATTATAAGAATATTAAAAAATTAGTAGCACTAGACAATTAAAACTAGTATTAATATTTAAATAGTTACTACTGAACACAAAGTTAAGAAATTTAGAAAAACTTTGACTACAGTAAAGTGATTTTCAAATTTATTGCATTTTAAATATTAGAATCTGGCTCTTTAATCTTGTTTGAAAAATTAAAGATGAATTTTTAAAAAGCATTGTCAGCATTTTAAAAGTAATAAAAGTGTTCATAATAGTTTTTGAAACGGAAATGTTTTGTTTCCCAACAGAACTTTATAAATTCCCTATCATCTCTTTCATGGATTGGTCTCAATCGAAACAGTACTAGACATGATTGGTTTTGGATAAATGGTTCAGTTTTCCGAACTAAGTAAGTTTTTCTGAATGACGCTATACAGAAGTATAAAAACTACAAAAACTAAAAACCTAGATAAGGAATATCATGAAACAGAATTAAAGACATGTAAAATAAATAGAAAATTAAGGCCATTCAATTCTGACAAGCAATTATGCATAATACTGAAGCTCTCGGTATTTGTAAAAATGATTAATGATATTTTTAAGAAATGTAATTATCCTTGTGTACAATAGTCTTCAATTATTATTGCATTTAATATTCCTTTTTTGTAGATTGATAACAGATTTATTCATTTTTATTCTTCACAGCAAAAGGGTTTTTAAAAAGACTAATCATAACTGTGGTATGCTATACTCAAATGCCCTTCAGACAGATGACTGTGAAAATTCAAAAGCATACGTTTGTAAGCATAAGCTTTGATGTTAAAGCACTTGATGTTGGAGTTGTTAAAGTATCCAGGCAATGGAAATATGATGATTGCAAAACTCTTAGAAATAATTGCATTATTTGTTGGACTGGAAACTACATTTGGATCACTCCTGGACTTTAGTTTCCTCCACTGGCTGATATTCACCAATATATTTTTCTGTAATAAAGTATAATTGTGAGTATAATGACTTGTAGTATGTTAAGTGAGAATTTATTTAGTTCTATATGTTTATCAGAATAATTTTGTAATAAACCAAAATATATAAATTTCTGTAGTATTGTAAGAAATCTGAATGTCTGATTTCGTAAGTACTCATGAATATTTGAATACTATTATCCATTTGCTTGCATTTCACTATATTTTTTAATAACAGCTTAGCAATTTCCACATTGGAAACTTTACATGGGGTTGAGACTTGGGCTGCTAAAGCGGAGACCTTTGTAAATGTATAAAGGCAAGGAAATACTGTCAACAAATTGTCAGAATGAATTTTTTCAACACTGCAAATTCAAGAAACACTGGAAATAATACATGAAGTGTTTACAAAAGAAAAAAATACTGAAACTCAATAAGAAAGGTTGTAATTGTGGCATTTTAACTTGCCCTGCCCCAAATGCCTTCTCCCCACGCCCATGATAGCCACGAAAACCAGCAGCTGTACAACTACTTGAAAGGCAGAACATTTCAAGCTCTCCAAAATCCCATCATTAGAAATTTATTAGTATTTTACCATTTTTTTCAGCCCTCCTGAAGACTCCACATGGAAGTAGAAAGCCTCATCTTCGGCCCTCAGAGTAGCTAGTGGTATTGAAACGCTGACCTTTAGTTTAGCAGTCCAGTGCTTGCCCCATGACACCATTAGAACCATGGCTTCTATTGTTGTTTGATGCCATAGAATTTATTCCAGCTCATAGCAACCCTATCTGCAATAGAAAGAAACACTACTGGGTCATGCACCATCCTCAGGGTTGTTCCCATGTTTGGACGGATTGTTGCAGCCACTGTGTCAGTCCATCTTGTCTAGGGCCTTCCACTTCTTGCTGCCTCTTACTTTCCAAAGCATGACCCTTTCACAACTATTGGTCTCTCCTAATAACCTGCCCAACCTACGTGAGACAAATTATCTTCATCCTTACCTGTAAGGATCATTCTGGAAGTAGTTGTTCTAATATAGTTATATTTGCTCTTTGGCGGTACATTTAATTTTCAGAATTATTTTTCATCAACATATTTCAAAAGCATTGATATTCCTTTGGACGTCCTTATTCAATGTCCAATTTTCACATTCATATGAGGAGATTGAAAATGCCACAGTTTGGGCCAGGAGCTCCTCAGTCCTCAAAGGAATATCCTTGCTTTGCAACTCTTTGAAGAGGTCTTGTGCAGCAGATTTAATCTATGCAATGTGTCATTTGATTTTTTTTTAAGTTGTCAAGGTTTTCATTTTACTTGTATCTACACTCAATACTTATAGAAGCAGTAGTCAAAAACAAACAACAACAACAAAATATGATGGAATTGCTTTGGGTAAACCTACTGCAAAAACTTAATTATTTAGGTAAGTGTTTGGTTATAGTTGAGTTTTTAATCTGCATATACGAATACTTCATATGTTTTAGTCTAAGAAGTTACCATATACATGAATACTATAGTTTTCTTCCCCACACCCAAACTATTTTATTAGGAGCTACTCCACGCATCATACCTATTTTGAAGGAATACATTGAATATATATGGAAGGGTTAAATCCTTGATTTAATCAGCAAGTGGTTCAAGTCCTCCTCACTTCTAGCAAGCAAGCTTGTGCCATTTGCATGTTTCATTTAATTAATAAGCCTTCCTCCAATTCTGAAAGACAGCTAGCTACCTGGCCAACTAATTTGAAGAGATCCATATTTCTGTCCATTACTAATGTTCAAACTATGGAACTATATCATTGATATCGCATGCAAGTATATTTTGGGGAAACAGCCTTCAACAATGATTGTAGCAGTATATTAATAGGGAGCTGCTAGAAGTTCAGGCTGGATTAAGAAGAGGACATGGAACAAGATGAAGGATTGCAAATTTCCATATGGATACAACAGAAAATAAGGAAGACCAAAATCCTCACAGCTTGACCAATAGGTAACATTATGATAACTGGAGAACAGTTTGAAGTTGGTCTTACTTGGATCCATAATCCATGTTCATGGGAGCATCATTTATAAGATAAAAAATGTGTTGCGTTAGATAAATCTGCTGCGCAACACCTTTTAAGAGTATTGAAAAGCAAGGATGTTACTTTAAGGACTAAGTTGCATCTGACAAAATCCATGGTGTTTTCTCTTACCTTATATGCATGCGAAAGTTGGACAGTGAGCAATAAAGACCAAAGAAGAATTGATGCAATGAAATTGTCATGTTGCAGAAGAATATTGAAATTACCATGGGCTGCTAAAAAGACCAAAAAAGAAATCTTTCTTTGATTAATATGGTTAGAGTGCTCTGCAGAGACAAGGATGGCAAGACATCATCATACATACTTTAGATATATTATCAAATATAGGAGAGGTCTGTCCCTGGGGAAAGATGTCATATTTGGTAAAGTGGACGTTAACAGGATAAGAAGGCTCTCAATGAGATAGATTGACACGATGGCTGGAATGAAGAGAGCTGGAATAGGGGCAATTATCAGGCTGGCACAGGACAATGGAGGGTGTCCTTGTATTGTGCATAGGGTCTCTATGGATTGGAATCAGCTAGATGGCACCTAACATGACAAGAAACCAATGTTGGTGTCAGATTTTTCAATATAATTCATCTTCTCTGATTATTGTCTCAGTATACAGATGGAATAAGCATTGTGAGAGCATGCAACTGTAAGGCACACCTTTCCTGATTGTAAACCATGTGGTATTCCTTGTCCTTTGCAAACAAGTGCTTCTTGATCTGTGAACAGGTTTTGAAGGAGCATTACTAAGTGTTTTGAAATTCCCATGCTTCTCAAGACTATCCATAATTTATTGTGATCCACAGTGTTGAATGCCTTTGCATAGTCAATAAAACCCAAGTAAACGTCTTTCAGACAAAATCCTTCTGGCATCAGCATGATATCCTTTATTCCATGTCATCTTAATCTGGCCTGAACCTCTGCCAGCTCCATTTCAGCATCCTTGCATATGGTATCAAATATATTGTTTTATAATTTGCACATTCTGTTGGATCACCTTTCTTTGGAATGCATACAAATACAGATCTTTTCCCGTCAATTGGTCAAGGAGCTGTCTTCCAAATTTCCTGACATCGACAAGTGAATGCTTCCAGTGCTTCACCAACTTGTTGAAACATTCCAATTAGTATGCCATTACTTTCTGGAAACTTCTTTCTGGGTAATGCTTTCAGTACAGCGTGAATTTCTTTTGTCAATATCATTAATCCTTGATCCTACGCTATCTTTTTAAATGATCGAATGTCAACTCGCTGTTTTTGGTACAGTGACTCCATGTATTATTTCCATTTTGTTTTGAAGCTTCCTGCATCATTCAATATTGAGCACTGGTGGCTTAGTAGGCACACATTTGGTTGCTACTCATTAAGTCAGCAGTAAAAGACTACCAGCTACCGTGAGGGAGAAAGAAGAGTAACTGTCTTAGAAAATTATAGAGCCAGTTATACTTTGTCCTAAAGGTTGCTGTGTCCGCATTGACTTTAGGGAATTGAGCTTGTTGTTGACCTCTGGAGTCCTGGTGCCATAAAGCTTACTAACTGGGATATTTACCACAAAGTTAGCCATTCAAGAGACAAGTTTTTTTTTCTTCTACCATTAGAAGCTGCAATTTTGCTTGTGTTAGAGGTCTTACATGTGTCTCTATTTTTTACTGATGAGTGTTATAGTTCTAAGGTTTATGTTTAGGTTTTTAATCCATCTTGAGTTCACTTTTGTATAAGGTGTGAGATATAGGTCCTGTTTCATTCTTTTGCAGTCACCCTAACCTTCTGAGCTGATCTATTTGCCTTGAATTTAATTAGCCCAACAGATCTCCTTGGAAACCACTATTTTGATTGGCACTCTTTTGGAAGCACTATAATGAGACTAAGGCAAGTTTAATTAATCACATTATGTGTTAAATTATTGATTTTCAAGTGTTGAAACATCCTTACTTTTTAATATAAATGTCTCTAGATTAGGTATATATCCTTTTAAAATGCAATTAAATTTGGTTTGCTAGTATTTTGCTGAGAATTTTGTATATAGATTCATAAAAATAATCCATTTTTTCTTATAATATCTTTATATGGCATTGGTATCAATGTAAAGTTTGTGAATAGAATAATACATGTTCACTGTTCTATTTTTTGAAGAATTTGAGAAGAATTGTGGTTAATATTTCCTTTAAAAAAGGGTATAATTCAGAGAAAATGTTTTGAGAAACGATGTACAAATGTGCTTTACACAATTGATGTGTGTATGGATTGGGATAACAGTTGTATGAGCCCCTAATAAAATGTTAAAAAAGAAAAAAAAAAGGGTATAATTAATTTATGAAGTCATTTATTCCTGGACATTTGTGTTAATCTGGGTAGACTAGAAAAATAAATTCATATAAACTCATATGTGAATGAGAAAGAGGTTTACAAATAAGAGCAGTTAAATATTGAGGAAACATCCCAGCCCAGTCCAGATCAAGTCCATTAAGTCCAACATTATCCCATATGTCCAATACCAATCTATAATGTCTTCTTCTGACTTACGAAAAACATGCAATGATGCCAAATGCAGGAAGATCACAGACCAGTGGGTAGAAAGTCTTTGGATCCAGTGGTATTGTAAGCATCTCAGCGCTGACAGGGGTCTCAATGTGGCATCTCCAGGTCCAGGGTTCTGACTGCATCAGGGTTGGTGTATGTGGTATCTCCTCAGGGATGTCTCACAGGGAGCCAGCCTTGTCAGTAGAGCATCTCTAAGGAAGTGAGCAGGGAGTCTCTCCCACCTCCAAGGAAGAAAAACCAGATTTCCCAGAATTCTCAGAATTAGGCCGTCCCCACACCGAGGCCTCATTGGCTATGATCTGATTGGCAGGCTAGACTCCACCACTACACTTTTTTTTTAAATCATTTTATTGGGGCTCATACAGCTCTTATCACAATCCACACATACATCAATTGTGTAAAGCACACTTATACATTAGTTGCCCTCATCATTCTCAAAACACTCGCTTT